GGTACAATAAACTACAGTTCCCATGATTCCCTAGCACTGAGTCAGGGCAGTTAAAGTGGACTCAGTTTGCACTATTTCTGGAAGTCCTCAAAGGCCGTTAGTTCCTTCCTATCTGCCCTTCTAAGTCCTAGTGCTTTTCTGATTTCTTGATTGTAGTCTCCATTCTGATTAATGACTGAGCCAAGGTATGGAAAATCTTGAGCTGTTTCAATGTCTTCATTGTCTACGTTAAAGTTATGTAAATTGTCTTTGGTCATTATTTTTGTTTTCTTAATGTTCAGCTTTAAGCCTGCACTTTCTTCCTTTACTTTCTTCAGTAATATTTCCAAGACTTTGCTATGTTCTTCTAGTAGTATGGTGCCATTTGCATATCTTAAATCACTGACGTTCCTTCCTCCAATTTTCATGCCTCTTTCCTGAGTCTAGTGATATATGTCAAGAATGATATGTTCAATCTACAAATTAAACAGAATGATAAAATGTAGCCTTGCATGACCTCCTTGCCAATTAGAAATCATTCTGGTTTTTTTGGGTTCTGTCCTAACAGTAGTCTCTTGTCCTGAGTACAGATTACGGATCAGGACAATCAAATGTTGTAGCACATCCATTTCTTTAAGAGCAATCCAATGTTTTTCATGAGTTGAAAAACTCTTAAGTCTTTGCTACAATCTATAAACCACAGGCTGATTTTTTAAAAAGGAATCTTTGGTGCTTTCCATTATTGAACGTTTGTTTGCAATATGATGCTTAGTGCCTCTTCCTTTCCTGAACCCAGCTTAGGGCCTTTGCAGACTGCCAGAAATAGTGCAAATTGAGTCCACTTTAAGGGTTAGGGTTAGTGCTAGGGAATCATGGGAATTGTTTTTTTTTTTTCTGAGACATTGAGCCTTCTCAGTCAGAGAGCTCTGGTGCCACAATAAAATACAGTTCCCATGATTCCCTAACCCTAACCCTTAAAGTGGACTCAGTTTGCACTATTTCTAGCAGTCTGCAAAGGCCCTTAGATATCTGGCATTTCTTGTTCCAGAATTTTGAGCATGACTTTCCTTGCAAGGGTAATTAATGCAATAGTCCTGTGGATACTGCAATCCCCTGTGTCCTGTTTTTTTGGTGATTGGAAAGTGTATTGAATCTTGTGGAGAGAAGGCAGAGTTTGCCAAGGTGAGAGAAGCCCTGGCAACATCCAATCAGAATGGGGCAGGTGCCAGCCAATCAGATTGAAGTTAGGAGGGGATAAATAGGACAGTTGGAGTTGGTTAGTGGCAGTTAGTGTTAGGGTCTGTTAGTGAGGGACTCAGTAAAGAGCAGAATTCTGAGGGGGAGTTATTGTTATAAAGTATCCTGAGGGATATAAAGAACCTTAGTGGCTGGTTTAAGAATAGATTATGCAAAGTATCCTAAGGAGGACTGAGAAGGTCCTGGGATAGCTAAGGAGTGTTCTCCGAAGAAAAGTGTTTAAAGTAAAAAGTGAAGCACAAACAAAAAGCAGGTGTATGAAACCATATTATCCTAAAGAGTCTGTGGAGTTAATGTCACTACCAAGTATAAGTATAAGAAGTTGTAACTGTAACAACATATAACAAATATAGCAAAACTATGATGTATCAACTGTATTAACCATCTAAAACTAGCAGTACCGTATTTTCCGGCGTACAAGACGACCCGGCGTATAAGACGACCCCCCATTTTTCCAGACAAAATATAGAGTATTAGCACCTCCGTCCTCCTTATCCTTATACCTGGCGTATAAGACGACCCCCCCACTTTAACCACAGATTTTGCAGGTTAAAAAGTAGTCTTATACGCATGAAAATAAGGTACATTGTTCAAGTTAACTCTCAAATAAACCTCTAACATTGTTTGAATAAAGGCTTGTCTGGAATTCTAATAAAGAAACACGCTACCAACATTTAAAAAGATAGTTTGGGGTTAAATCCCTTAAGAAAGTTAAAGGAGTGAGCCAGTTTCACTCATAGGTGGTATTTAAGAAGGAAAAACCCTTTCAGCTTCCATTGAGGGGAAATAAGTAAGGTGACTGAGGATGTCACCGTTACAGATTGGTGGCAGATGTGGGACTGAAAATAGTATATTCAAAAGTTATATGGTTGTCACAAATCTGTGGGGCATTGTTTTATTTTCCATATTTGTTGATAGATTTTAGCTAGCACTAGAGTAAATTCTGTCTCTGTAGCTTGAAGCGGCTCATGCTATGCCATCTGTTACTGGTGATTTATTTCTCCCAAGTTCTCTTAATGTAGCTTTTACTTGACTTTTGGGTAGAACAGATCACCCATGAGAGAGCAGGGTTGGGGCAGCAGCAGCAGCCGCACGCCATGGCCCCAATCTGGCTTTTTGCCAATGCAAAAAGGAGCAACAGAAAGCCGCTCCTTTTTGAGCGGGCAAAAAGCCGGCTTTTCCCACCCCGCCTCACTTTCATGGCACTCCTGTGGTGTGTGGCGTGTAAATGCCATGCCCCAGAGTGCCGTGAAGCTTGCCTATGTGGGCAGGTGGCATGACGCCGGCTTTTGGATGGCTTCAGAGTGTGCGGCATCAAAACACCATGCTCTGAAGCCACCCAGACCCCAGTGCAAAGTCTGTTTCACCCCTTTCTAAAATTGTTGGTTCATTTTCAAATAGCTCTTCCTTGAAATAATCTGTCATCCTTTCATCTTCTTTACATAGTTCTTCAGTGTATTGTTTTCATTAATTTTTTATTTGTATTTGGCCATGTAATATCTTCCTTTGCTGGTTGTCTAGCTCCACCAAATACAGAAAGCTAGTCCCATGGTGGGTTGAGTAGACTGAACACACAAAAAGGGCAGAACAGACAGTAAGACAGACTTCCAGACCAATCTTTTGTTCTCCATTTGTATCTGTTTCTCCATACTCAGCTGCAGGTAAAGAACCCCAAACTAAGAATTAATCAAACCCAGCATTCTGACTTCCAACAGTACAGAGCAAGATGCCTCCTGAGGAAACTGATTCCATTTATCTTTTAATTCTAACACGCTTATGGTAGACCTATTCTCTGTGACTTTGCTTCATCCTTAAAAGAAAACTGTATATTGCTTTTTACATATCCCACAACCCTAAGTAAACTACAAAGATGCTACAAGATCACTTTGCATATTGACAAACAGTATACCTCATTTTACTATGGAAAAAGAAACACACAGGACTATTTCTTTTTTAAGAGAAAAGTTGAGAAACTTTTTATAAGGTATAGTGAACTGTTTTCTCATGCTCCAAGCAGTAAGGAATCTTGTGTTATTTTAAAGACTAACAATGTTATTGTAGTATAAGCTTTTGTCACTAAAGGCCTCTTCATCAGATGCCTGAAGCGTTATCCACCCTTGGCTGGTGTATGTGCACATGGTTGTAGAGAAAAAGAGGTAAGCAGTGAGATCAGTTGGTATGATGTGCAAAAACAGTGACTAGTGACATTATGATAAAACTTAAATATATGCGATGAATGCATGTTGACCAATTACAGCAGCAGTAACAGATGATTATTGTCGTTGTTGTGTGCCTTCAAGTAATTTCTGACTTATGGTGACCCTAAGGCATTCACCTATCATCAGGTTTTCTTGGCAAGTTTCTTCAGAGGGGGTTTGCTATTGCTAACCTCTGAGTCTGAGAGAGTGTGACTTGCCCAAGGTCACCCAGTGGGTTTTTATGGCCGAGCCAGGATTTGAACCCTGGTCCCAGTGACCTAGTCCAGTGCTTAAACCACTATGCTGCACTGGGTCTCTGATGATTACAAACATCTTAAGTTAATTAACACCAAGAATAAAAAGCTGGATAAAAAGCCTGTTAGCTTCTTCCAGTCTAAAGAGGATACAATTCAAATTTTAGATAAGATGCAGTTCAGCAGTTTCATGCTGGAGTCTCTCTTTGGAGTTCCTTTTTTCAAGAATGGCAACTTTCTGGTCAGCTACAGCATGTCCTGAAGTTAATATCAGGTAATTTAGCAAATATGATTTCAAAAATAATTGTTGTATTAAAATAAATAATTATAATATACTAATAGTACCCACAATGTCTGGAGTTGATTTATATGCTTCTTTTCCAGTGTGGAATATATGCTTTTATTCATTAATAAAGTACATCTGCATTCTACATAGGACCAACGTAGGACAAATATACTCTATGCAAATTGCTCTATGCAAATCTAGATAAAAGATTTTTGCAAGTATTAATTTGCTGATCCATTGTCAGGATGCTTGTGCTATCTGTAGCAACTGTTTCTGAATAATAGCTTACTGTTAATAATTTATCACTGTCTGTAGTTTCCTCATTTAATTTATCTCTGACTCTGTTGTTCAGTCTTTATCAGCCACCTGCATATGTGCAGCTCAGGGTAATACTCCATGTGTCCAGAGGTGTCATGGAATAACTTGAATCCAGAACAGGTTTGCCAGGTTTTCAAAAAACAATAAGGGAGAGTCAAAGTTCATGACATGAGGGACTGATAATTAATTTTCTGTCTTTAGGAAAATCCATACTGGGTTTCTTTTTTTAGCATGCATCAACAGTCCTGAATCTTTTTAAATCATACTATAATTATCTGTATTGGCAGTGAGCCTCAGACATACTTGCTCCTGAAACCTGGCCTCAGCTTTTTCTCAAAATGCTCAAACTTGCATGTACTGGATTATTGGCATCCCATTCAGTTTATATGAAAGGAAGCACTTTCCAGCCCTCAAGTAATAGACATCCCTTATAAGAGACACCTGCTAGCCCTACAAGGGACAAGCTTTCTAACCTTCAAATAAGATACATCCTTCATAATAAGTGACACATGAAAATCGTAGTTCAGAAGATCTATCTCCGTAGCATCCTAATATTTCCATTTTTAACGTGATTTAGTGGAGAAAGATTGTTGTCGTTGTGTGCCATCAAATTGTTCCTGACTTATTGTGACCTCAAGGCGACCTTATCACATGGTGATCTGAGTCTGAGAGAGTGTGACTTGCCCAAGGTTACCTAGTGGGTTTCCATGGCTGAGTAGGGATTTGAACCCTGGTCTCTGGAGTCGTAGTCCAACGCTCAAAGCACTGTGCCATGCTGGCTCCAAATATGGTTACCTTTTTGGGATAAATAAGATAGTTTTCTAGTTCCTGGAGTTTACTCCTTATTAAACTTTCTTTGTAGGGGAAAGAAAAGGTAGTTCAGATGAAATTGCTGCTATGTTTAACTGCAGGGCTTCTCTAAGGGGGGTGGTAGACTGCCAGAAATAGTGCAAATTGAGTCCACTTTTAGGGTTAGGGTTAGGGTTAGGGTTAGGGAATCATGGGAACTGTAGTTTATTGTGGCACCAGAGCTCTCTGACAGAGAAGGCTCAATGTCTCAGAAAAAAAAAAATACAATTCCCATGATTCCCTAGCACTGAGCCAGGGCAGTTAAAGTGGACTCAGTTTGCACTATTTCTCGCAGTCTGCAACCACTCTGGTATTTTTAGTGCTATGATAGTTTGCTGTTAGATTTGTGAAATGGACTGTGACTTGTCAATTGCTGTGTTAGGAGATGGATATTCACCTTCAGATTTCTCCAAGGCAAACAATGCCAAGATTGGCGATTGAGGCCAGTGATAAGGATCACTACAGCATTTTTTTTTTGTAAAATGTTGCAAAACCTGTTCTAAAATAAACACACACGCTGGTACTATTTCTGCTCAAGTTTGTTGGTGATCGGAAAGCTCTCTAAGCAAACAGTACTGAATCTTCTTTGAATAACAGCTGCCATGGTTTGTCCAGGTAAAGAAAATATTTATAATATACTGATTAATTTTCTGGAGATATTATTAACGTGGCACCATTCATGTTTTTGAATAAAGGCTGCATTTGTATCAAGCCAGTCAGTCATTCTGCCTTTCTTCTTCTGCCCACACTTCTCTTTGGTGATCAAGGATGCTTTGATTTTTTAAAATTTAGTTTCATATGCTTTCGTTTAAAAATGGTAAGAAATCCCAGTCAAATCTGCTGGTTTTTTGTTTGTTTGTTTGTTTCGAAAACCTGTATAAGGAATCTGAGTTTCATTGTCTGTTACCAATAAGAAATATGTGACTTCCACATTCTGTCAGGCTCCTTACTGTATTTTCAACACAGAATCAATCTGTAGATATATGATGAATATTTTCATTCAGACAGAGTGCATACCTTTGTTAGTTAATACTTTTAAAATCCTACATGGTTTGGATCCAAGTTATCTACAGGATTGGCCCCTCCTTTTTTAAAATTTTTTATTTTTATACACATTAAATCTACAGTTATTTAATTTGAATTTACATTCTCAGATTCTATATCATAATATTATTTACACCATTCCATACTTCCTAATAGTCCCCTAAGTTAATCACCTTGTTCTCACATTTTTATTTTTCGACTTATTGTTAGTCATAATCTTCCTAGATATATGTCATACATCTATCACAGTATTCACAGGACTTATCCTTTCTCCTCCCTGCTACCTCCTTTTAAAAACAATATCTCTAATTTCTTATTACCACTTTTAATACTTGTAACCTAACTCCATCTGCTATTGCAAAATTCCTTTATTGGAAACCACTCTTTTTCAATAATCTCTACATCTTTCTGGTTAAGTCGAGCTGTTAGGATGTCCATCTCTTTCATCTCTGCTATTTTCATTAACCAACCATCTATCATTGGGAGTTCTTTTAGATTCCATTTTTGTGCCAATAGTATCCTTGCCACTGTGATCATATAGAGTAGTATTTGCCAATGTTTCCTTTCTATCATCGTTGGAATCTTATTGAGCATATTTAGTAAGTATATCTCTGGTCTCAATTCATAGTTGACCTTCAGTATTTTCTCAATTGTAATATGGACCTTTTTCCAGTAAGCTTTCAATTTCGGACATCTCCACCACACGTGGAACCAAGGTCCTCCTTTCTTGTTACATTTCCAACATTCATTGGAGCTAGTTTTGTAAATTTTTGCAATTTTATTAGGTGTAAGATACCACCTCTGCTCCAAGGATGGGCTCCTCCTGTACAATGTGCCCCATACACTCAGATCCTCTGGGGTTGTTGTTGTTGTTTTGTTGCTGTCATTATCATTCATGTTGTTGCTGTTTGTTTTGGGGAGGTTTGAACACTTTTTGAATATTGTCTTGGTTATTAGGAAAGATATTTAGGCAACCATTTTTGTTAGGGGCATTTATTACTCATCTGGAGAACAGTGGCCCCTCTGTTTTTGCAGACTTGAAGTTTGTGGTCCGTGCTTTATGCGGATCAGCAAGAGGGGAGGCTTAAAATGGCACCTGCGCTGTGCATGGGAGTGCACCCTCATTCAAGCCTATGGAGCTAGAATATGCCTGATCTTTTGTTTTCATGGGAGGGTCAGGAGCGGATTCCCCACAAAAACAAAGGGGCGATTGTATAGTGGAAATTTGTGTGGCAAAGAAGAGAAAGTAATAAAAGAAGCTAGGCATTAGGAAGGCACTCTGTAGAAGGTTCTATGAACTGTCCTTGGTTCTCCAACATCTGATTTTCTAGAACAGTGATGGCGAACCTTTTAGAGACTGAGTGGCCAAAATCAATGGCATTCCAGCACCGGGATGCTGGGGACAGGACTTCCACTTTCTGGGGGGCAGGACTTCAGGGG